TATATATATTTTTTTTTTAAGTGTATATATTCCCACTTCTGCAGGCTGAGGATGGAAGGGGTCATGGCACTGGTCAAGAAGCCGCTAGCAAAACAGGGCAGGCCTCCACCTGCCTGGCTTGGGGAGGAGCCAGGATCCTAGCAAATGGGGCGGGGCCAGGAGAGGGGGAGTCGGCAGCTAGAAGGGGGTGGTCAGCCTGGGCTGGGGCAGAGAGAGGCCGAGGCCAGAGAGGAAAAGGAGTGGGACTCCAGCGGCAGGGTCTCAAGAAGGTAGAGGGACAGGTCCCAAGGACGGGCGGGGATTGAGTGGCTGAAGGAGGAGTCAAAGCAATGAAGGGGAAGGCCCAAGGGAGGTAGGGAAAGTACCTGCGCAAACAGTGAGGCCTGCTCCCGAGAATGGCCAAAGGGGTCGATGTGCCAGGCCACACGGGGGCGCCCGTCGTTGCCAAACGTGTCCTCAAGGAAGCGGAGCCCTAGTGTCATCTGGTCTATGATGGCTCCGTAGTGGGTGGCCGCCTCGTCATTCATCACCCAGCCACCGTTGGCAAACTCCAGGCGCCCTGTGCCAGAAGGGGCAAAATCCAGGTAGGCTGTCAGGGCCACGAGTGGGGCTGGGGTTGGCAATGCAGGGGATGAGAAGACCTGCCTGCATGCCCAGGCCTGGAAGAAAAGAGGTCTCTCCCAGGCCAGTATAGCCAGATATGGAACAGAGGGCCTCCTGCATGGCAGGCTTCCCAGAGGATCTATTGGAGATGGGGCCTTGCAGGATGCATAAGAGTTCTACAAAGAAAGGGAAATTCCAGGCAGGCAGATCACATGCGCAGTCAGTCTGCACGTAGGGTGATAAAATCTCAGAAGACAGGATGGCAAAAACAGAAGCTAGGCTGAGCTTCCTCTTTTCACTTCCTTAGGGCAGCTCACCCTGGCGCACCAGGTCCCGCACAACATCCTGTGTTGCATTTGTCTGTTGATGCCACCAACGGGAGAAGAAGGCCATCTCCACGTAGACGAAGCGACGGGTGGGCTCCGCCAGCAGGGAAGAGATGACAGAGTCTAGGATGTACTGAACACCTGCGTGTTGGATTCTATTGTGGACTGTGGACACAGGGGTCAAGCAATCAGGGACCAGCAAGCCAAGGGGGACATTCTTAGACACAGGACCCCAAGCTGGGCATTGCCCCCACCCTAATATCCAGGACCCACAGAGGATGTGAAGAGCTTGGAGGGATCAGGGAGTCCCAAGCGTCAGTCCCCACCCTCTACTCACTGCCATAAAAGTACTGGTCCACGGTCTTGAGCCAGCCCACGTCATCGTGTGTGTGGGCCAGCAGGTGCACATTGAGCATGTTCGGCTTCACCGTGGGGCATGTCTGCACAGGGACCCCAAATGCACACTCACACACCTTGTCTCCCCAAAGTTAAGAGGCAGGTTGGGGTGGGAGTAGGGGTGGGGGCACAAGGTAAGTCTTGATCTAGAGGTGAGTAACTCAGGTCGGGACAGGCACTCCCAGGGAGGACACACACACATAGTTGCGCTGACGGATACAACTCCCTAGTGGCACACTCCTCAGGGCAGCTCTCATTCACACCCTGGGAAAATAATAGTAGTAGCTAATATTTATTAAGCATTTACAAATACCAAGTAGCCACCTTGCGGGACAGGGACACTATTATCTCCAGTTTGCAGATGAGAGCACTGAGATCAGAGAAGTGTAGTGATGACAGTCCCGCAGCCAGGAAGTGCAAGGGCCAGGCTGGAACTCCAGGCCGGCCGCCGCGAGCTCCAGTTCTCAACCAGCATCCGCCCCCAACCCCCACACGCACACGCCCAATCACACGGTTCAATGCATGCAAAGTCCAGGCAAACTGACCCACAGAAGCAGGAGAGCAGGAACCGGCAGCCCCATTCTCAGACGCGCGGAGCCAGACCTCCCACTGACACAAAGCACGCCCTCAGACCACACAGTCATATTAGCAACCATAAACCAGGCAACCACAGAACAGACCCACCCACACCTCCAGACCCTCCTCGGGGCTTCCCTCTGGCTTGTGGACATTTCCGCTCGCCGACTCCCGCTCACCTCGTATCCCGCGGCCCGAACGCTGGGCGCAGCCAAAAGCAAAAAAAGGAAGGAAAGAGGTGGGAGCGGTGGGCACAGTGCACGCGAGCTCGTCCAG